AAAAATATGGTATATCAGAATGTGGACCCTATAGAGGTCACAATTTTAATGTTATTTTGATGAAACTTTAAATGTAAGTTTATAACACAAAGATCTCGGTTCCTTTCGATATTCGCGCATATCGGAACGTAAGTTCCTGAATTATGGCCCCTGCTTGTACGAAAAATCGCGTTTTTAGCTTGTGGACCCTATAGAGGTCATAATTTTTATCTGATTTAAAAAAACGTATATTTATATCACCGTTAGACCCTAAGGACGGCTAATGTCAAATTTAGGGAAAATCGGTCCAAAACTGACAGACTAAATGGCCGCCCTTCGTTCTCAAATAGCGTAAAAATATGGTATATCAAGGTTGTGGACCCTATTATAGAGGTCACAATTTTAATCCTATTTTGATGAAACTTGAAATGTAAGTTTATAACACAAAGATCTCGGTTCCTTTCGATATTCGCGCATATCGGACCATAACTTCCTGAATTATGGCCCCTGATTGTACGAAAAATCGCGTTTTTAGCTTGAGGACCCTAGAGAGGTCATAATTTTTATCCGATTTAAAAAAAACATATTATTATATCACCGTTGTACCCTAAGGACGGCTGAGTTCGAATTTCATGAAAATCGGTCCAAAACTGACAGACAAAATGTCCGCCCTTCGTTCTCAAATAGCGTCAAAATATAGTATATCAAGGTTGTGGACCCTATAGAGGTCACAATTTTTATACGCCCACATTTTCATGTAGACGTATATTGTCGTCGCCCCTGTTTGTCTGTCCGTATGTCTGTCCACAATTTGTTTGTGGACACTCTACAGGTCACAATTTTTATCCAATTTCAACGAAACTTGAAATATAGCTTTATCTAAGATCTCGGTTCCTTTCGTTATTGGCATGTATCAAATAGTGTAAAAAATATGGTATATCAATGTTGTGGACCCTGTAGAGGTAACAATTTTAATCCGATTTTGATGAAACTTGAAATGCATGTTTATAACCCAAAGATCTTGGTTGCTTTCTATATTCGTGCATATCGGATCATAAATTCTGGAATTATGACCCCTGATTGTATGAAAAATGGCGATTTTAGCTTGGCGTCGCTCTAGAGGTCACAATTATTATTCGATTTAAAACACCGTTTGAATATATCACCGTTACACCGTAAAGAAGGTTGAGTTCGAATTTCGTGAGGGCTGAGTTTGAATTTCGTGCAATTGGTCCAAAACTGTCAGACAAAATGGCTGCCCCTCGTATATCAAAACCGTGGTATATCAAGGTTTTGGACTCTCTAGAGAGAGGACACAATTTTAATCTGATTTTGATGAAACTTGAAATACATGTTTATCACCCAAAGATCTTGGTTCCTTTCAATATTCATGCATATTGGATCGTAACTTCCTGAATTATGGCTCTTGATTGTACGAAAAATCACTTTTTTTTTTTAGCCTGTTCTCTGTCCATCTCTTGCAAAATGTGGGCGTACCTTGCATGGCAAATGCTTGTTTCCGATTTTAAAAAAACATTTAGATATATCACCATTCCACCATAATGAAGGTTGAATTGGAATTTCGGGAAAATCGAAATGAAACTGGCCGACAAAATGGCCGCTCTTTGTATGCAAGTATGTAATACTAAGGTTATGGACCCTCTAGAGGTCACAATTTTTATTCAATTTTGATGAAACTTAAAACATATCTTTATATTCCAAAAATCTCAGTCCCTTTTGAAATTTGCGCATTTCAGACCATAACTTTCTGGATTATGGCCCCTGATTGTACAAAAAATCTTTTTTGTCTTGTTCTCTATCCATCTCTTGCAAAATGTTCAGCGATTTCCGATAATTACTGCCAAAGTTTTGGCCCTTGATCACTTTGAAAAATCTTGTGACACTCAAGAAGCTAAAGTTAAGGTCATGAGACGAAGAAGCCTATTGATTTTCAGCAATTTCCAATTATTACTGCCAGATTTATGTCCCTTGATCACTTTAAAATATCTTGTGGATGCTCTAGAGGCTAAAGATAATATCCGATTTACTTTAAATTTATACACAGTGTTTAAGGTCATGAGACGAAGAACCCTATTGATTTTCAGCGATTTTGGATAATTACTGCCCGAGTTATGGCCCTTGATCACTTCAAGAAATCTTGTGGATGCTGTAGAGGCCAAAGTTAATATCTGATCGACTTGAAATTTATAGGCAGTGTTTGGGGTCACGAGGCGAAGAATTCTATTGATTTTCAAATATTTCTGATAACTACTGCCAAAGCTATGGCCCTTGATCACTTTGAAAAATCTTGTGACGCTCTAGAGGCTAAAGTTATCATCCTATTGACTCTGAATTTATACGCAGTGTTTAAGGTCATGAGACGAAGAAGCCTATTGATTTTCATCGATTTCGGATAATTACTGCCAAAGTTATTTGATCACTTTGAAAAATCTTCGTGATGCTCTTGAAGCTAAAGTTATCATCAGATTGATACACAGAGTTGAAGGGCGTTGCCATGTCTAACCTATGGTAACTTTACAATTAATTTTATATTATTTTTCAAACTCTGTTCCACATAAATTTAGTATGATCATTAAATAGACATCTGAAGCTGTGATTTAAGTCATAGTTTGGGCACATATCTTTTCTGGATTTAGAGATATTAAATTTTGAAATCGGCTAAAAAATACCCAATTTTCATCATAAATCTAAAAAGTTCTCAGTCTTGCCTGATCCGAATTAAATAATTTTTGGCATGCAAATAGCTAAGCTAGTGTTTAATAAAATTACAGGAGTGTTTTTTCATGGTGCCATTAATAATGCCAAAATTCCAGAAAATCAAAAAATTTCATAGGTCGTTATGTAAACTGGTCTGAAATAAAATCTTTTTCATATAATCTCAATTGGTCCCATAGAAACGTTCCTCCGAATGTAAGCTTCAATTTGATGCCAAGTTTGTTAAAATCGGTTGAGTAGAACTTGTATTTTTTTCATCGTTTTCAATGGTTACAAAAAAAGGTCCTTTCAAATCGTGACGTATTTATGTAATAAATAATACCATTTGTAAAAAATTGGACAAAATATCATGAATTAGCAATGAGTAGACTTTGTCGCTCCTGTCTGTGTAGTTTATTAAAAATAATATGAGATCTTTGTCCCACAAAACAAAGAAAACGAATGGAGCCATTTTTTCGTTATTGGCATCTGTCAAAAAGACTGGTTATTCGAGATCGAATGAATTCCCCTTAGTCTAGTTTCTGTGTATCAGAAATGACCAAAACCAGGCTACAGAAGCATATTTCTATACAGAAACAAAGAAAGACGAGCTACTATACTTATCGAAACGTTCAAAGCAAATTCGGATACTATTTTTAGATCAACCAAGGTCAGGGATTCCCTCAATTTGACCAACAATCCTGACCCATCCGGCGAAGTGAACATTTCTTTCTGTTGACTATTTGTGTTTTTAGGGGAAAAGGCGACAGGTACTAAAGTATCACTGAGAAATAGTTTGAAAAGTTAGTGCGAATCTTAGACATGGCAACGCCCTTAAGGTCTTGAGACAAACAAATATATTGATTTTCAATTAATTTTGATACCTTATTTTTCGGTGTATTAGGCACACATTTTTTACCAAATATTTTATTTTCTAGAAGGGGTGCGCCTAATACATAACGTTAAGCAAATCCAGGCTCTTCCTGTGTCGATACCTAAGTCGGGAAGTTCAAGAAATAACTGTCCTACAATCAACACATGTCGACCGGGTGACGCTACCTTAAAAGATAATGATATATTATTATCACTTAAATTAAATACAATACTGTTCCCTTTTGTGTCCATTTATATTTGTCAATAATGTTTTAGATATGTTTAAAATGCATCCATATCTGTCAATAATTATCGCTAATATTTCGTGCATAAAAAAGATGTCGACATTTTCTGCTATTCCATGTACAGTATACTGTTTGTCATAACCGGCAATGCAAACACCATCAGCCGATAGCCATTCAACTTTAACGGTGTTTAAAAAAATAGCACACGTATCGTTAATATTTCTTGCTATTTCAACAACATATATTTCTGCTATTCCGTATACTCTTGACCATTACCAGCAGTTCTAACTCATCCCCCTTCAAGGTCAATGGTGTTATCAGTCAAGTTGCCGAATAGGGCGGGGCATGCATTCCTACAAGCATTTTCATTGGCTCAATATAAGTCATCAGTATTAAGGGTGGGATTACAGTTAAACTGACATATTATATTGATGTTCTTCAGTCTAACCTGTCATCGAAACGGTAAATCTACTCGACGTATATGATTGACATAGTGAACCAATTCTTTCTCAATTTGTGGATAACATGCGTCGCTTCATCTATTGGCTTCTTTATTTGGTTTATAATGTGACTTAAGTTCCCAACTCATAGCCGCCTTATGTTCGACTCACCCAAATTGAATTCATAACCCATGTCACTGTTACCGTTCTCTTTAGCGGTTCGTCTCGTAGCCATTCTCAATAGATAATTTTTAAAAATTTGATGGAAAGTTTGTTGGTATTTTCTATACATTGCTGTAAATTTTACATCTAGCCGTTTCAAGTTACCGCTAGTTTTCATGCAACATAGATTCACTGATTGATCCATTGTTATAATTTAACGGTATCGTTAATTATCTACCGGAGATTTGTCACCAAATGCCTTATGAAGTAGTTTATAGTTCACAACATCATTTTTCTTTGATTGGTATTAAAAATGCTATTGTATTATGTTACTGATAGATTTAAATGGCTACAATCAAGGTATTGTCATGCCGCATGTAGTGGGCGGGCTGGGCGGGGCAATGGACGCCATCGTTTGTCAACTGTTTAGATAGTATAAAGTAAACTAGAATTATTGTTTCTCTTTTACCGGTAGTCAATTTAATTTGTGAGTAGCTGAATTTAATTTGTGAGTAGCTGATCATGATAAATTATTTCTAGTTATTATTTCATTTGTTTATCATCAATACCTATTCATTTATTACAGATAATTGCCCGTAAATTTAACAGGATACGGCGATGTTTGTTGTGGGCGGGACTTCAACGACAATTTGACTACCCGTACAAGCGCCAGAATTACCATTTAAGTTATGAAACAATGCAATTGAAAGTTATAATTAATATAAAGTCTTATGCAGTTTAAAAAATGTATATATATATAAAGCTTGATACGGCTAAATATAGGTAATTATTATATCTGTAAACAATAGAGCGTGGCCCAGTTAATGGAGATCGCAGGTGTATTTGACTCGCGTATAGTATGGCACGTGTTCAACAAGGCGTTGGAGAAGGGTGCGCCTAAACCATGCACTTTTATTTTTTCCTGAAACACCTCTGCCAAACTCGACCTGCGCCTTATCTACTCATGTGCTTAATACACCGAAAAATAAGGTAACTTGAACAGCTAAATCCATGATATTAAATGTTTCGTATACTAAACAATAGCATGGGACAGAACTTTATAAAAACCAAACAAATTCTAATGATTTTCTGATAATTACTCACTGAGTTATTACTCTTAATCAGATTTTTATACGCCCACATTTTAATGTGGACGTATATTGTCGTCTCCCCTGTCCGTCCGTCCGTCCACAATTGTTTGTGAACAGTCTACAGGTCACAAATTTTATCCGATTTCAATGAAACTTGAAATATAGGTTTATCACCCTAAGATCTCGGTTCCTTTCGATATTGGCATGTATTGGACTGTAACTTCATGGATTATGGCCCCTGATTGTACGAAAAATCACGTTTTTAGCTTGTGAACACTGTAGAGGTCACAATTTTTATCCAATTTAGTTTAAACTTGAAATGTATGATTATAACCCAAAGATCTCGGTTCCTTTCGATATTTGCGCATATCGCACCATAACTTCCTGAATTATGACATCTGATTGTACGAAAATACGCGTTTTTATCTTGTGGACCCTATAGAGGTCATAATTTTTATCCGATTTAAAAAACCGTATAATTATATCACCGTTAAACCCTAAGGACCCCTGATTGTACGAAAAATCGCGTTTTTAGTTTGTGGACCCTATAGAGGTCATAATTTTTATCTGATTTAAAAAAACATATTATTATATCACTGTTACACCCTAAGGATGACTGAGTTCGAATTTTGTGAAAATCGGCCCAAAATTGACAGACAAAATGGCCGCCGTTCAGTCTCAACTAGCGTAAACATATGATATATCAAGGTTGTGGACTCTATAGAGGTCACAATTTTTATCCGATTTTGTTGAAACTTGAAATGTTAGTTTATAACCCAAAGATCTCGAATCCTTTCGATATTCGTGAATATCGGACCATAACTTCCTGAATTATGGTCCCTGATTGTACGAAAAATCGCGATTTTCGCTTGTGGAGCCCATAGAGGTCATAATTTTTATCCGATTTAAAAAAAACGTATAATTATATCACTGTTAGACCCTAAGGACGACTGAGTTCGAATTTCGTGAAAATGGCCGCCCTTCGTTCTCAAATACCGTAAAAATATGGTATATCAAGGTTGTGGACCCTATAGAGGTCACAATTTTAATCCTATTTTGATGAAACTTAAAATGTAAGTTTATATCCGAAAGATCTCATTTCCTTTTGATATTCGCGCATATCGGAACCTAACTTATTGAATTATGGGCCCTGATTGTACGAAAAATCGCAATTTTAGCTTGTGGAGCCCATAGAGGTCATAATTTTTATCTGATTTAAAAAACCTTATTATTATGTCACCGTTAAACCCTAATGACGGCGGAGTTCGAATTTCGTGAAAATCAGCCCAAAACTGACAGACAAAATGGCCGCCGTTCGTTCTCAAATAGCGTAAAAAATATGGTATATCAAGGTTGTGGACCCTATAGAGGTCACAATTTTAATCCTATTTTGATGAAACTTGAAATGTAAGTTTATAACCCAAAGATCTCGGTTCCTTTCAATATTCACGCATATCGGTGCGTAACTTCCTGAATTATGGCCCCTGATTGTACGAAAAATCGCGATTTTAGCTTGTGGAGCCCATAAAGGTGATAATTTTTATACGATTTAGAAAACCGTATTATTATATCACCGTTAGACCCTAAGGACGACTGAGTTCGAATTTCGTGAAAATCGGCCCAAATCTGACAGACATAATGGCCGCCCTTCGTTCTCAAATAACGTAAAAATATGGAATAACAAGGTTGTGGACCCTATAGAGGTCACAATTTTTATCCGATTTTGTTGAATCTTGAAATGTAAGTTCATAACCCAAAGATCTCGGTTCCTTTCGATATTCGCGCATATCGGAACGTAACTTCCTGAATTATGGCCCCTGATTGTACGAAAAATCGCGATTTTAGCTTGTGGAGCCCATAGAGGTCATAATTTTTATCTGATTTAAAAAAACATATTATTTATCACTGTTAGACCCTAAGGACGACGGAGTTCGAATTTGAAAATCAGCCCAAAACTGACAGACAAAATGGCCGACCTTTGTTCTCAAATAGCGCAAAAATATGGTATATCAAGGCTGTGGACCCTAAAGAGGTCACAATTTTTATCTGATTTTGTTGAATCTTGAAATGTTAGTTTGTAACCCAAAGATCTCGGTTCCTTTCGATATTCGCGCATATCGGATCGTAACTTCCTGAATTATGGCCCCTGATTGTACGAAAAATCACTTTCTTTTTAGCTTGTTCTCTATCCATCTCTTGAAAATGTGGGCAAATCCTGTCTGGCAGCCGCTGATAGTGTATTATAAATGTTTCATTACCAAAAAAAGTAAAAATATGGCTGCTCAGACAATTATCATAATGGGCATGGCCACCAGTATTCAAATGCCTATAGCTCAGTAACCGATTTTGAGCAATACCCATTTCAGCAATCTTGACCAATAGATTATTGAGCTAAATAATTATATAATATACTAAGCAGTAAAAGAAACGTCAGGTTGGTATGTTACTCTGAACAGACGCATTGCATAAAACTAGTCAAATGTTTTTATTGTATGTTTGTGACCACATCTCCAACTTTACCTGAGCAATAAGGCTTCTCCCCAAACAGTATAAACCTAGGAAATGTTCTCAAAAACGCAACCTGACTTCTGAGATGGTAATTTCACCAAGATTTTCATTTAACTCATGCTGCATGTGCTGTTCACAGGGGCCAGCCCTATAAAATGCACCCCCATTAGTGCTGATATCAAGTAAAATTTTACGCATCGATGCATCGGACGCAAACATCGCTTCTCGTATCGATGCATCGGGAATTTGCCGCCATTTTGTTAATCAAAAATTACAGAAATAACATTAGTATTTCTGATAGAAACATAAATTTCCCAAACATTATCATTAGGCCTATTATAGAAATGTCGATTTATTTGAATAAATTTATTTCCACAATATTTTTCTGTTATTTATTATGATATTAATATCGTCCGATTCACTTGACACTCGTTAGCCATTGTTCAAATTTGTTGTGAAGGGGTGAGGTGATTACAAGAGACAGCGTTTGCATTATTTATACTAATGAGGTCCCGTAGGAAGTGGTTTTAAAATTATAAGCTTCCATTACCTTTAATATAACCAAACTTCAACAAAAATAATTCTGATGAATATCGTATTCTATTGTGTGTAATTACAACAAAAATAACGTAGGTGTACAGCTACACCGTTCGGAAAAGTTTGCATATTTAATTCATGTTCTGGCTTGAAATTCATGAATAGATTACTGTGTTTTTGGATGGATATAAACTGATACAGCACCATGGTATTTCTTCATAACACAATTTGTATTTTTTGTCTATCATATAACTCGCAAATATGTTTTTATTCATTCGTCCATAATAGACACGCGGCACAGTAATAACGTGACAACTATAATTGAAATTGCTTTAAAATAAAATTTCGTAGGACTATGCCATATAGCTTTCAATAATAATGTCAATACTTTTAAAATTAAGCCTCTGTCAGCATGTGTATAAAATAAAAATCATAACAGTAAACGCTACTTAACTCTTAACTTATCCACGGCGACTTTTGTCGACAACTATAACATTACCGTTAAGTACCCACAGCGACTTTTGTCGACAAAACCGGTTAGCCGAATGCAACGTTCCTAGCGTAATGAGAGTTATTTCCCTAATGAACAGACGACTTTATCTCATTTGTTTACTTCCTGTTTGACATTTTGACAGTTACAAATCTTACTGTTTCTCCTTGAAAAATTATAATAAAATGGTGATATGTCTAGACCTATTCGGCAAACTTCTCCTTATGACGGATTACCATCCTTATTGAATGACAATGATTCAGATTTTATCTGTAGTGTTGATTTTTACAGTTTTGCGTTAAGCCAAGAACGTGATATAAGTAGGCTCAGTTAATCAACAAATTTCTATTAGAATTACGTTACTTAAATAAGCTTAAATTAAAAGAGATTCATGATGAATAATTTTTAGTTCACAACAGCCGAACAAAAAAATCGAAATAACCATTATATACATGAATTTTGCATGAAATGTCTAAATTAATTTTTTGTATAAATTTATATTTATGAAAATGGCATTAAATTTAGATTATTTCATCCATTTACATGAAAGGTCTATCTACAGTTGTTTATTAATGATATGACTTTAAAATACATATCTATATTTTAATACTATTGACCATTATGACGGGGGTTTTTATGACGTTATGACGTCAAACCTCTGGGTCGTTTAAGAGTTAAAACTAAAACTAGCATCGCCGGTTTATTGACCTAATTTCAACCAATGTCGCGTGTCATCGGGGGATTCAGCATTGGAGATTTTTTCGGAAAAATACATTATTAATGACTGTTTCTCAGTGTATTTGGTGTTCTATCCAAGGATTATATTCAACTAAGATTTAAATTTAACTAACAACTGGTCAGCAAAACCTCTACATGTATTATACAATTGTTATTTTAATGTCTACCATAAAATTGGAATCCATGCCCAGGCAGGGGTTGAAATGTTTGTAAAATTTTACTTGTCTCAGGTGACAAGTAGAAATATATATTTTACTTGTCACTTGGTCATTTCAAGTTGTCACCACTGATTTTAGTTTTTAATAATAAAAAAAAATAATAAATAAACTTATTACATTTCAATTTCATTTGTAAGAGATGCTTATAATCAGACTCCGCGTTTACTTTAGCACATTTTGGCGGAAGTAATGAAACAAATGACAACCGTTTTCTCACTCGGGAATCTTCGCTATTCCGACTCGTTCATTGTCCGCACGTTTCTGAGTCCGACCCATGGTGGTAATATAATTTGAAATAATACGGTATCCAATCAGGCATGCGTGTATATTTTACATTCCAAATGAACCACGGCAAATGGAATTCAACAATCAAAATATCTAATTTTCTTCGGAAAGAATTTTATAATATATTTTTTAAGACAAAACGAAACATCAATTGATAGGCTTTATATTATATAATTGATGTATGCCGCCTGTTCGCCAGGTGGTTGTGATTTGCATTCAAATTTCAAATTAATGGTCAAGCAAGGACATATACATGTATACGATTAGAATTTTAAGATTTTTTACCGCCATGTACCCCAAAACATTATCGACAAAATTAAATTTTAATCACAGCTTCCATTTTAATATCGTAAATCGCGAATTTGACGACCTACAGCTGAGCCATGATTACCATGGAGTTATGTAATATTGACTGTGATTGGTTGATTAAAAAGGAATAGCCAATGGCATTACGGCTTTCACAGACTCAGTTGTGTTACTATTTTAATGCAAAGAAACCTTTCCCAGACGTATGGAGCGAACTTAAAAGGATCATATAAGTTACAGTCTTGTTGATCAGGGAGAAATTCGCCACCACACTACTATGGAGACAAACGGACAGCTGGTTGCGTGCTGTTAAATAACGTTAGTTTGTTTTAAAATGAAAAGTTCCCCTCTTCCAATTTTATTGTCCCCCGCCTTTCGAAGAAAGCAGGGGACTATTAAAATGGGTTCGTCTGTCTGTCTGTCTGTCTGTCTGTCTGTCTGTCCGTCCGTCCGTCCGTCCGTCCGTCCGTCCGTCCGTCCGTCCGTCCGTCCGTCCGTCCGTCCGTCCGTCCGTCCGTCCGTCCGTCACACTTTTTGGGACACAATAACTCTCTTCCTAATTGAGCTAGAATGTTCAAACTTGGTGTATGTGTTTATTAGGTCAATGCCTTGATGGAGTTCGAAGATGAGCATTTTCCGCTTAGGGTAAGCAGAGATAAGCAATTTGATTGGTTGATGCTTTGGGACACGATAACTCTCTTCCTAATTGGGCTAGAATGTTCAAACTTGGTGTATGTGTTGATTAGGTCAATGCCTTGATGGAGTTCGAAGATAAGCAATTTGATTGGTTGATGCTTTGGGACACGATAACTTTTAATTGAGCTAGAATGTTCAAACTTGGTGTATGTGTTTATTAGGTCAATGCCTTGATGGAGTTCGAAGATGAGCATTTTCCGCTTAGGGTAAGCAGAGATAAGCAATTTGATTGGTTGATGCTTTGGGACACGATAACTCTCTTCCTAATTGGGCTAGAATGTTCAAACTTGGTGTATGTGTTGATTAGGTCAATGCCTTGATGGAGTTCGAAGATGAGCATTTTCCGCTTAGGGTAAGCAGAGATAAGCAATTTGATTGGTTGATGCTTTGGGACACGATAACTTTAGTTCTAATTAAGTGAGATTGATGAAACTTGGTGTATAGTTTCATTACAGTAATACCTTGACTAAGTTTGATAATTGAGCATTTTCTGCTCAGGGTAAGCAGAGCGATACGCAATTTGATTGGTCGAGACTTTGGAAAACAATAACTCTCCTACTTTGATTGTCCCCCGCCTTTCGAAGAAAGCAGGGAACTATTAAAATGGGTTCGTCCGTCTGTCTGTTTGTCTGTCTGTCCGTTCCGCTTATGGTAAGCAGAGATAAACAATTTGATTGGTTGATCTTCGAATTGAGTAAATGTTCATGCTTATTGTCCCCCGCCTTTCGAAGAAAGCAGGGAACTATTAAAATGGGTTCGTCCGTCTGTCTGTTTGTCTGTCCGTTCCGCTTAGGGTAAGCAGAGATAAACAATTTGATTGGTTGATGCTTTGGGACACTATAACTTTAGTTCTAATTAAGTAGATAAACAATTTGATTGGTTGATGCTTTGGGACACTATAACTTTAGTTCTAATTAAGTGAGAGTGATGAAACTTGGTGTATAGTTTCATTACAGTAATACCTTGACTAAGATCGATAATGAGCATTTTCTGCTCAGATTAAGCAGAGCGATAAGCAATTTGATTTGCTGAGACTTTGGAACACAATAACTCTCCTTCGAATTGAGTATGTTTTCCCCTTAATATGCTATAATTATTCCATCAAAAACATTGTATGCTTAGACTATAAGTAAAGATATACTGTTTGATTGTTCAATACTTTGTAAAAGATAATTTGTGATAAATTTATATGTGTCCTCTAATTATTTTCCTATTTCGGCGGGGGACATCAGCCTCACTGTTGGCTTGTTGGAATGGATAAAACAGACATACATTTTTATGACCTCTATAGGGTCCACAAGCTAAAAACGCGATTTTTCATACAATCAGGGGCCATAATTCAGGAAGTTATGTTCCGATATGCGCGAATATCGAAAGGAATCAAGATCTTTGGTTTATAAACTTACATTTCAAGTTTCAACAAAATCGGATAAAAATTGTGACCTCTATAGGGTCCACAACCTTGATATACCATATTTTTAGCTATTTGAGAACGAACAGCGGCCATTTTGTCTGTCAATTTTGGGCCGATTTTTACGAAATTCAACATAGTACATATTTTTTACTTTTTCAAAATCAATGTGACTGAAAGATAACTCTTCCAAACATTTTCTATCCAAAAGTTTAATTGGTTCTTTGTTACAACTTACAACCTAACCGTTACAACCTTTCAAAGTTTTCATAATTTGGTGAGTTGTTGAGAAAACACTAAACTATTAATTTTGTGATGCTGATGGTGGGCATATTTTTTGTTGATTGGCAACCTATTGTTTTATATTTATATTAAAAATAAACAATAAATTAATGACTTTTTTTAATTTTAGTTGAGTGATAAGTGCCTGATGGATGGAGCAGATGGATACCTACAATTAATGGCTTTATTTAGTGTTGTAATGACACAGATATGTCACGGAAAATAAACACTTTAAAACTGTACTGATAATGATATTAAACAAATATAAACTTGCTTGGAGTATGAACACAAAGTTATGCCTTAGTTATATTTTAGAAGATACTCTATTGAATGTTCTGGAATTGAATTCTCTCAATCCTAAAAATAGTGACGTGACAATGGTGATGCGCCAAATGCATAAGGAAATAATTCAACTAACCATGACAGCTGAAACATATTCATTGTGATTAATTAGATCAGATTCCACTCACACCACCTCAGTTGTTAGGATTTACGGAATTCTGTGTCACTTGATTGCAATTCTGTCAATTCAGAACGTTCTGTACTGATAGTCGACCAACACCCTCTCCCCCTAAAAAATATCTTCATGTGTATTACGATGAAAATTCACCAATATCTGGGAAATTTGTGTTGTAAAGACATGAATAATACAATATAGACATGTCACTATAACAGATCTCTATTACTTAATTTGAATATATTTACTACTGTATGTAAAGTAACCATTATAATAAAATAATATACATACATATTACATTGTTTACCTTGTAGTATGTTGTAGTATTAGGGGGATTCAAAAATCACTTGCGAAATCTTAGTGTGCTCAATACTGTTTAGAGACACGTGGAGGGATATTGTATTATCCAGTTTTTACAATAGTATTTATTTCGAGAATATTATATATTATAAAAGGCATAAAGAATAGGATACAAAAACAAGCCATGTATAGGCTTATATTAATATGCTTCCTTCTGGTTTGGGTGTATAAAATATGTACAATTTCAAATACTATATGACACAGACAAAAACTAATTACATTATTTTAGTTATGGTACAAATAAGTAGATAATAGTAAGTGAAGGGGGACTGCACCACAAATAATTACACAAAACAAAACTACGGACAAAACACAATACGCAGAAATCACAAACAAACAATAGGATCTGAAAGAGTTGTTACTACCGGTTTTCTGGTTGAAGTGAGAGATTAACCAATGAAACGGACTGTTACAGCGAGTTCTTGGTGTGAGATGCACGGAACTGTGGGTAACCACTAGAAATGTCAATGCTGATTAGTTAATCAATGACGTACAACCCCTGACGCGACCTTCCAGTACAACCGATCAGCTGCCCCAGCTGGGCGTTGAATCGCACCCTTTCCAATGGACGCAATACGAAGCCACCGACCAATGTGCACAAATCAGTATGGGCGCCCCATAAAGCTGAGTGACATTGTTGAACCTTGTGAACGCTATCACACCAAAAGTTATCATCCGATCTTTGTGAAATTTATATGCATTATTTAAAATAGGGAAACCACAAAGCCTATTGAATTTCAGCAATTTACAATAATTACTTCTGAAGTTATGGCCCTTGTTTCACTTTGTTCCACCCTGTCAACGCTTTAACGACAAAAGTTATCATCCGATCTGTATGAAATTTATATGCATTGTTTGGATTAGTAAAACAAAGAAGCCTATTGAATTTCAGCAATTTCCATTAATTTCCATTATGGCTCTTGTTTCACTTTGTTGAATCTTTGTAGTACTATCAAGACTTCTTTCCTTGTTGTGTTTGTTTTCATCGTGGTCGTAATAACACTACAGAATAAATGGTTTTACATCTTTAATAGCTGCTTGGAATATCTGGGTGAGCTCTGACCACTATCTACACCCTGTTTTATAACCTCCTATTTTCTGCATGTCTTAGATAGCCTTGACGTTAATTTCCATCCCAAATATGTTATAATCCTCTTTATTTCACAAGAATAGAGGAGGAAACATTACCTTATTTGGTCTACCAACCATAGGTCAATTAACAGATAGAACTTGATGGATATTTTGACAATGGTTATGATTTTACCATGTTTTTTTATGTATAACTATATATTCACCTTCATTAAAGGCACTATCCCGAATTGAACAGTCTCAAAAATAAAAGTCTGGGTACGTATATGAAATTTAAGCGCCAAAATATAGAGGAATGGTGTATTTACCCTGTCTCAAAATTTCAGCTCAAAATATGGAGTCATTTGAACGGGAACGTCAAATGTGGCAGACCTCGGATTTCGGAGTATCATTACCAATTTGATGAATAAATTCAACCATGATTTTCAGTTAGCCTGGTGCCCGAAGTGTTCAAATTTGGTTGATGGACTTCCGGGTCACTTTGCTAAATGCCATTTTGGCGGCCATCTTTAAAAATGGCCGCCGTTTTTTCATTGAAATTGAGCGCGTCAAGGAAACCTTCATAACTCTTTCACAGATTGACCTATTGATATGGAATATGGCTCAAAATGTTCGCAATAACATTCTACAGCTGCTGTTATATGACACATGTTGGTGAATGAATCATATGTTTTCCAAATCAACAGATTATTCTGAAAAAAGCAACGTTTTGGCATTTTTTTTCAAGATTTATTAAAAAATTTACTACCAAATCATGTTCAGGGTAAATTTAGCCAAATTTTGTGTCTGGTCTTCTTAAGTTATTCATTTGGCATAAATAAATACGGTCAGTGACCCAGTCTGTACAGCTGCGGTGGCCGCAAACTCAACAAAAGTCTTGAGTAGACTGTCAATTTTAAAATGTTGAGCCTCGGCGAGGTAGGGTACTATCCATGTGAACGTTTATTTAGGGTTGTCGCAATCACACCGATATTTGGGGACCGGTTGTTTCTGAAGAAAAATTTGTCACTGAAGACGATTTTGATAGTGTGTCACTTCTGTGACGTCATTTTCGGTTGAATCCGTCTGATTTCCAAAATGGTCGCCAAAATTTGACGAAAATTGAATTTCTTGTTAGGATGGATGAGTATCACGCAAGGTAAAACTTGTGATATATCATATATAGGGTTTCCGTAGTCATTGTACTTACAATTGATCTATAAAGTTAGTTTCCCAAAATCCAAGATGGCGAAAATTCAAAATGGCAGTCAAAATTTGCCTAAAATGATCGATGCCTCGGATAATCGTCATTTTACAGTTTGATATGCCCTGTAATGCCGCTTAAGGGGTTTTCGATGTCACAGAACTTAAATACAACATCTAAAAAAAGGATTTCCAAAATCCAAGATGGCTAAAATCCAAGAGTGCGGCAAGAGTTTCCCTAAAATGAATGATTTTTCAGATAATCGTCATTTTTCTGTTTTGTACGGCTTGTAATATGCCATTTATGGGGTTTTCAGGATCACTAAACTTAAATATTACCTCAAAAAAAGATTTTGGATATCGTAGATTATTGCTTAAGAACAAAACGGGACAATTGTCAGTCTTTCTCTTGGCTTGGCTTATTATAAAAATGTGTAGTAGTTTTTTTGGGGATGATGGAATTAATTATACCAGATCTCGTAAATCAGAAAATAAGATTTAATAATATTCCAGCAAAACTGTAAGGAATTTTAATATATCTTTGCAAATATATCTAGTTGTTAAGAATTTATCTATTCTGTTTGTTCAGAAATTGGCCGAAATAGTGGCTCAGAGGGTAAGGCTCAACGAGGTCCGGAATTCGATCCCTGTGTCTGGACAAATTTTACCTCATTTCACACTCTATGACGAATAGCCATCTTCATTGACCAAGTTAGAACAGTAGGACGTTAACCCACATTGCATTTCATTTCTGGTCCACAAATGGTAATATGATAGATTTTTACTTTGAAGAGTCTGGCAACCTTTTGTGTTATCATCTAGAATCTAGCCAGATGGTATCATGGATTCATATTTGTCAATTGTGAAAGTGTAAAGTGTAAAATGTATTTCACAACAAGTTCTAAGTTTAAAAATGATAATTACAGAGATAATTTGAAATACATTTACCCAAAAGCATGGCTCACTATTTCCTCTTTGTTAATGTCACAACCATCCACCTCATTGGAATTACTGTGACAATCGCAACTACTGTTTTTCTTCAGCAATGGATACTAGCCAAAGTACAAGAAGAAACAGGAGATCTCGGCAGCGACAATGATGATATCCTTTTAATATCATAGGCCTGCCTAAAGCGAAAGAAGAAATTGGTCGACATTACTTTTGTGATTCCTAGTCGTTAATGCATTTCAAATTATCTTCGCAACGATTCTTTTTAAACTTTCAACTTGTTGTGAAATGGATCTGTGGATACGTTATCTAGACTATACCACAAAAGTTGCCAGGCATAGTCTTTGATGAAAAACCGGTTCGGTTGTACCATATAACGAAAAAATGCGAAAAGTACCGAGATAAAAATCTGAAAAGTACCGAAAGATGCAGACAAAATACCGAAAAAATCCGAAAACCCCCAAATATCGAAATATCAATAAATAACGAATAAAAAAAACACTAATTACCGAAAAAACCCTAAGCCACACACAAAAATTGCTAGGTGGGTCAGACTAGACCATGCATAAAAATTGTTGGGAACTGTAGGTTACGCATTAAAATTGTTGACACTCTAGCTAGGTGGGTAATGGGTCAAGCAAGGTCAGGCATAAATAAAGTGGTACACTTTCAGTCAGTGGCGGATTGGGGCCGGGAACCGGTCCGGGCTCCCTTGTCGGAGCTACCCCTTTTAATGAACCCCAAATATGCGATTTGGTGGCATATCTGATTATAATCTTTGTCAAATAATATATCTCATAAATCGATTAATTTAGGCCAAAACCCCGACCTACAAGTAATTTACAACCATCAACCTGTGAAATTATCATATCGTCATATTATTAATTAACGTATTGTATCGCCAAGAGTCAAGAGAATTTAACTGGTTTAAAAATAGGACTAGTTGAGAAAATTTTGACCATTTGATTAACCAGTTTAGGAATATTGAATAAGTAGGAATATTTTCATTGTAAAATGTCCCATTTTTGTTGCCGGGAGCGCTAGTTGATTCCTCCTGTGATGGAATTCGGAATCCCCATTGCAGGATTCCGAATTCCGGCCCACACCCAGCACACCCGGCCCAGAAAGTCTATTATACCAGCCCATTCCAGACTCCAGTGATGGCGTGGCAGCCCGTTAAAGACACCGGCCACATCATCGTAGTTCCATGGCCGGTCCAATACCCCCCCCCCCCCCCACACCATATAATGTTCAGC